ACCAATACACACAACTGGTCCTTGTTTGGGAACACACAACTCATAACTAATTTGTTTATATTTATTCATGAGGATTATTATGTTTACTTATGATAAGGTCAAATGTTTCGATTCTAATATGATATGCTAAATATCTCAAATGCAACCTTATTTGATTAACAGTGATTTAGTTTTACTGGAAACATCACAGGAAGTGCTTTTGTTTTGAAGTGCCCACACGGATGGTATCAAGTGTATTCTTGCTAGATTGTTCTGAGATGACTGTGAGACAGAATGCGAAACGCGTTCGTCATGTTTAAGTTGTTATTTTCTTGTTTGTAAAACTGCAACGTAGTGAACAGTAAACGTTCACAGTAAAGAACAGCGTTTCGGTCGTCATTTGAAGCCATTCCACTACAACTACCATATACGTTTCCACCTCTGAATATTCCCAAAATGTGCAACCCTAATCATATGACATTCCCAAACACTGTTCTCCAAATGTTCATATCATATTCTACAATATCGTTATGTTGTTCTTATGGTCCCAGAGTGAATCTTTATTCAAGAAACAACATAACTGCGCTCTGGTGTTCTATATGAAAATGATTTTCAATCCAATCATCTAGCGGAAGGACACAGACGTCAATGTTTGACTGTACCATCCAACACAGCTAACAGTCTGAGGTGACAGGATGGAAGATCCAATGTGAAACCAACAGACCAAGACAATTTCACAAAGCCTCTCCTCTCCAGAAATCCTCTCTCCATGTCTCCTAGACTCTTATTCTCAATCTCCACTTTGCTCGGTCTTTGTTCCCACCCAGCTTTGCCAAATTAAGTAGCTCTGATACTGACAAAGGCAATTTTTCTATGGAAATCCGCTTTTCTGTGTTTAGGAGGTTCCAATCTAGCCACAATGAGGTCCTTTGAATAGTTGCGGACAATTACATAACTCTGTGTGCGGCTCAGCAAGAAGCGATTTAGTAAACACTCACACACTAACAAACATTCACTAGCCACACACACACTTAATAATTGCACACACACACACACGCAGACCAAGCTCGCCAGTAGCAAACTTTGGTTGTATGGAGGAATTAGGGTCTGAAAGAAAAGCTGGTTGTGTCCGCTTCCAGCAGAAGGAAATAAAAGCACCCTGTCCAAACAAAACTAAAGCCTGTTGAACCACTGTGGAGCGACAAAGCCCAGCCACAACAACACAATGCTTTCAGTCCACATAACACCAAAACAAAGTCCTGTCAAAAACAGTAGAGCCCTCTGGTCTGTTCTCAAAACTCACAGGTCTTAAGTCTCTTCAAAGCTGTTATGGGTTTCTGTATGTTGTAAACAGATTAACAGTCATTCACGCCGTCGCTGGAAAAACTGAGATGAACACACACACACACAAACACACAAACACACAAACACGCACCGTACAGGTGGAGACTCACAGCGGTGAGGGAGGAAGGTGGAGAGGGGTCAACAGTTACCAGGTTGAGGATGACCTCCATGGCATGGGGTCGCATGGAGCCTCATACAGCCTCACACCGCAGGAGGGCCGTGGGAGAGTCTCTCTGTCCCACCACAGCAGGGAAGACAAGGACGAGGGCGAAACATACACTCATCACAATGGTCCCTCTCCGAAACAAAGTCCACAGCGCTCTGGGAATCATGCAAGGCAATCTGACCACCAGACGAAAGAGCAAATTGGACCCAGTCAAGGCTGAGTATCTGGGCCACAGCATAGGATCCACTGAACCTGCACCCCTGCACTGAGTCCAGTGGCGAGTCCGTCCATCCAACAGCTGAACCGCCTACACATCCGCGGTCCAGTCATCAGCAGTGAGTCCGAAGCCCTACGAGACCCAGCCACCACCAGCCCAGCTAGCAGCCACACAGGCTGATTAGACACCCCCCGTTCCTGGGTCCACTTCGGTAATCACACGCGTAGCGCTTCAGTAAGCCCAATTCCTTCAGGCACGGCACACTTAAAAGAACAAGGAGACGTTTAAGCCGGACGCCAGCAGGGAATTGTGAGTGACAGCAAACCGGATGGAGCCGCCCCAGAGACTGGCCTCACAGGGACGAACGTCAGGGTTTACTGGGAGAGCTGACCGGAGTTCGAAGGGTTAACCGGGAGAGTTGAATGAAGGGTTATGTTGTAAGAGTCTATTGGGCGTAAACTTCACAGCGGAAGAGAGAGGAGAGAAATGGAAGGAGACCATGCGGACGGATATGAGGGGAACAAGGGAGCGGGGAAAAGAAAAGAGCCCACCAGGAGCTGTCAGACTGTGTGTGAGTGTGAGTGTGTGTGTGTGTGTGTGTGTGTGTGTGTGTGTGTGTGTGTGTGAGTGTGAGTGTGAGTGTGAGTGTGAGTGTGTGTGTGTGTGTGTGTGTGTGTGTGTGTGTGTGTGCAAATAGACAAAAGGGAGGGAACGAGGGTGGTGACAGAAGGGACAAGCGGAGACATGTACGTCACCTTGTGTTTGCCATTGAAACCCCACTGTTGGTTGATGCATAAAATGTCTGATAAGAAACAAAACTGTCCAACTGAAGCGAATAATTTTTCACAGCTTGAATGTCACAGCCAATCAGTGTTTACGACCAGCACACTGATGAAAACAACCATTGAGCGTCGACTCGACGTAACACCAGAATGCCCTGCTTTTAGTTTAGTTTTTATTTCTCTCAGCCAATCAGAACCCTACGATTTCTCCACTGTGTTTGTAACGCTCACACACTGACTGACGAGCACGTGGTGTCTGAATCCACAACCAGACGAGTGTTTATCACGTCCTTGAAGACGACCGAGTTTTCAATGTGAACAAAATGTTTTGTTTTAGCTGAAAAGCAACGCTCCCATTTTCAGATGTTATGGTCATTCAAACAACAAGACAGCAATACAGTGTATGTGTGTGTGTGAGTGTGTTCCGGATGTTAGCAACCAATTAATGGACAAAGCATAATCGCGACACATGGGGGTAAAGCAGGATGATGGCTGCCAAAGAGGGAGGACAGAAGAGGATGAGGAGGGTAAGGGGATGAATACTGGCTTTAATGAGGAAGCAGTGGGGAGGGGGGGACCCAGGGAGAGAGGAGGAGGGGGATGTGGCTTACATAAGACTCAGTCACTATGAGGGTTCTGGCGGGTGTGTGTATGTGTATGTGTGTGTGTGTGTGTGTATGTGTCCGTCCACTCGACTCCACTAATGAATACAAGGGGACACACCCCTCCTCCTGGCACTGTTAAAACTGAGACAGAGGGAGGGGCCTGTTGTCACACTGGTTGTCACTAAAGCAATATTCTCTTTATCTGATAACTCTGTCAATGATGGCCATTCAGTAGTGCTGTTCTACACCACTTAAAGGAGTGCTGGTCTTATCTTCTCACTGTCAGATAACGTGAGCTAGCCAGGCATAAAGGACACACACACACACACACACACACACACACACACACACACACACACACACACACACACACACACACACACACACACACACACACACACACACACACACACACACACACACACACACACACACACACACACACACACACACACACACACACACACTCAGCCTCATGAAAAGACACACTTTTTGACACTTAAATCAATAAATCATTCCAGGGAAAGCATGGGTCTGCAGACTGTCTGGACAGGTTTTTTCAGGTGCTTTTAGAGATGACATCACATACATTCTCCAGCACTGAGCTCAGTGTAAGTGCAATCTCAGGTCTAAGGGCCCTCTGAGGCCCCAGCCACCTAAGCATCTGTCATTGTAACAGAGGGAATTTCCTTTGGTACTCCTTCTGTAAACAGACACGGAACATAATCTGCAAGACGGGACATTTTTCTGTGTCATTATTAGCGGCATATTGGAACTGGCAGTAGTTAGGCTGTCTGGGTGAAGCAGGCACTGTGTGTGCACAGTAGGAAACCAGTAACCACCAGCAAAAGGCAAGTCGTCCTCCAACTTAACAAGGTTGTTATAAGAGGAGAACTGATCCTGGATCTGTACATTTGGGTAACTTATATTCAGAGCTGCTCTAGGGGGTGCCTCTTAGCGAAGGCAACGTGCTGTCCACCACAGTGAAGGTTTAAGCCCTCGCTGTGCGCCCGGTTAATGTGTAGCTTGCCTTGGGAACTAGTAAACGTTGTCAGTAAGGAATTCCTAGTTTTACAGCACGTCTATCAAGCAGCTGGGGGCTTCTAACTAACTGCAATTGGACAAGTGATCAACTGTTAAGATGAGAGGGATTGTGGGGATGAATAGCTTGATGCGTTAACTCTCTCTGAAACTACACTGGTAGAATGGGATATTACAAAATGGGCAACAACAAAAAAATTCTAGATACAAATACAGACACATATTTAATAAATGTTTTTTTAAAACAGATATTGAGAACAAATTGAATAGGGCTTTATAGTACAACAGAATGACCCAAGGCCAGGCCTGTCAAATCATATTGATCAGAGTAATTAATTTAATTAGGTAGAGGGATATTTATTCTGGCACACACACACACACACACACATACACAACCAGATGCATGGGTTTGAATAAGATGAGGCGTACTTTAATAGAACAAAAAACAAAACAGATTTATGTCAAATGTTTGAGGAGAAAACCACCAACTATCTTTGTTACAGGCTATAAGATTACTACACCGTCATGACTAAAGGGAAGCGTCCAGGGTTTAACGAATGCAGAACAAACAAATCCTGAGTTCAAGGTTTTGGATTCAAGAATAGAAAGTTCTGGCTCATATAAATTCCAGAATGTTCAGCCAGTGGACACGACTCTAATCCTAGAATGATAATGTCATTCTCATTCCAAAGACGGAAGCAGCAAAGACGTAACACATAGGAACAGGAACAGCTGTTTGTCTGCCTGCCTGTCTGCTAAACCAGTTAAACCAGTTAAACCAGTGCTGTTAAACCAGTCTTTCTTTCTTTTGAATTTTAATTAGGTAGGACGATTGAGAACCAATTCTAATTCGCAACGGTGACCTGGGGAAAAGCTGGAGATTGAACCCAGGACATCATACACACAAAGCACGCACTCTACCACTGAGTTACACCAACACCTCCAATAGGAACCCAGGACATCATACATACAGAGCATGACCTCTACCACTGAGCTACTCCAACTCCTCCAATAGGAACCCTTGTTTAAAACATTTGTGGTTCTCTCTGTAGAGATATAATAAAATATATTAAAAAAAGGACAGTGCATGTTTGTGTGACAGAGATAGATCTGGGAAGATCTGGGAAGGTGGGCCAGGATGGTAGAGAAAAAGCAGAGGGGAAGTTGAGCGATGTATCATCATGAGTGACCACCAGGGGGTGCTAATGCAACAGCACTGCAGAACGTCTCTGGGAAAGAGCTGGTTGCAATCTCCACCTACATGTGCATACAGACCCACATGAGACAACATGACTTTCTCACTCTAGGATGCTTTCGGTCTGCCTCAAAAGTCATTTCCCGTGCCATATCCTGTCAACATTCTTCCATTATTCTGCCATCTGTGACAGTTCTGACGCATGTAAACTTCATACCCCTTCATGTCACCGTCTCGAGCGAACATAAAGACATGTGTGTGTGGGTGAAGCGGGTGAGGTGGGTGAAGCGGTGGAGGTGGGTGAAGCGGTGGAGGTGGGTGCTGACTGGCAGAGCAGAGGGGGAGAGAAATGGGTTGGATTATAGTTATTATGGATCATAGTTATGAACCAGGACTATCACAGTCATAGTTATGAACCAGGACTATCACAGTCATAGTTATGAACCAGGACTATCACAGTCATAGTTATGAACCAGGACTATCACAGTCATAGTTATGAACCAGGACTATCACAGTCATAGTTATGAACCAGGACTATCACAGTCATAGTTATGAACCAGGACTATCACAGTCATAGTTATGAACCAGAGCTATCACAGTCATAGTTATGAACCAGGACTATCACAGTCATAGTTATGAACCAGTATGAGCCAGAGCTATCACAGTCATAGTTATGAACCAGGACTATCACAGTCATAGTTATGAACCAGAGCTATCACAGTCATAGTTATGAACCAGGACTATCACAGTCATAGTTATGAACCAGAGCTATCACAGTCATGAACCAGTATGAGCCAGAGCTATCACAGTCATAGTTATGAACCAGGACTATCACAGTCATAGTTATGAACCAGGACTATCACAGTCAGTTATGAACCAGGGCTATCACAGTCATAGTTATGAACCAGTATGAGCCAGAGCTATCACAGTCATAGTTATGAACCAGGACTATCACAGTCATAGTTATGAGCCAGGACTATCACAGTCATAGTTATGAACCAGTATGAACCAGGTCTATCACAGTCATAGTTATGAGCCAGTATGAGCCAGGGCTATCACAGTCATAGTTATGTGCCAGGACTATCACAGTCATAGACAGAAAGGCCTGCATCAGGCCATATTAGAACAATCTATGGTATATTTACAAGAAAACGTCAGTACGTATGTGTAAGAAAACAGAACAAGGATCGTTGGCGTAGTACAAATCCACATGGCTATTAACCCTATTCTGTCTGTCCTGCGCTAGGGGCTTGAGAGAGAACATACAGCTCTTTGATTGGAAGAGACTCAGTAAGTGGCGGATATAAGGCGTCAGAACGTCAGATCTGACGATGGTTACCGGAGATGTGCGTTTGTGAGTGTGGGATCGTCTGTGTGTAAATTGGGTCAGCGGAGCAGAGCTGCATGGCTGAGCTCAGCAATGTTTAACCTCATCTATTATTCATAAAGTAAACACACACACACACAGACACACAGACTCAATGAAATACACTCACGGGGTGGCAGAACACACACACACACACTCTCTCTCCATCTCTCCTCAGACAGGGAGTGGCAGGGAAAGAGAAACTGAAAACCAATGCAGAAAAGTGGACTGGAATAATGACAGCCAATTGTCTTTGCCACAGAAACGGACTAAACCAATAACAGTTATTTTTTAGCCAGGCAGGACGATTCATAACAAATTCCCATTTGGCCCAGATAAAGGAAAAACGTGCAATGAAACATACAGTTGCTCAATAAATACACAGAATACAAGAGTGCAAATAGTAGTGGGACTCTACATGACAATACAGGAACAAGTGGAGAGTCAGTTTACAGTTAATACAGGATGGGGTACAAGAAGGTCAGTTTAGAAGCATTGATATGGCAATAACAACAATAGAGAAAATACAAAGCAGAGTCTATATACAGAATATAAAAGTTAAAGTGTATCTAACTTGTATGTCATTAGTGTGCACAAATTGGACATTGCCTAGCAAAGACTCGTAAATTAGTTGGTACCAGTGAGTTAAACGTTGAGTGTTTAACTACGGACAACCGACTAATGCGTAAAGGTTACAGTGGTGGGTGTTGTATGGGGCATTGGTAACAAAACGTACAACACTACATATATATCTCACCATTCCTTGTCCACTTAGGACATCTAGTGGGCTAGGGGGGTATTGGGGCACTTATATAACTTTGAGGTTTGCACCTGACTCAGATGGTGGTGATTAGAAAGGGTGCAGCTGGTTTAGATTCAGTAATTATGTTTGTTATAAAAGTCAGGGTGTGGGATATTGTCTTTATGTCATGTTACTTTGTGAATTAGTATGGTGTCATCACGTGTCGCTGTTGTTTTAAGTATTTATTAAGTTGCTACATTGCGCATTTTCATTTAAAACCAGTACATGTTTTTCACTGTATACAGTTTGTTTTGAGTTCAAATAAACCTGTTTCTAAACGAAATATCCCGCTCTGCGCTTGGATTAATCCTGCACTACACCACCTTGGTTTTCGTGACAGAATAACACAGTAGCACGATTTGTCACCTTCAACGCTCCTTCAGTCAACCCTTTCACTTCTCATGGCAAGTGGTCACAATAAGCATTAATTCGAACATAACTACAAAACGTAAAACACCAGTCGTTTCACACGCAGGTGAAGGCTGAGTGGCACATCCTCCCTAGAGAGCAGCGATGTGGCAACTCTCAATGACAAAGGAAGAAGGACCAGCTGTGGGCCCCAAAAATAACCTCACAGGGGATGACCAGCCGTGACTCACAAGCATATGCTCGCAAAAGCAGGCAAACTTAGAACCAAGAGTGTTCTCCAGTGAGGCAGTGAACATGACCCGGGTCACTCCGGGAACTAACAGAACAGTGAGAAAAAGCAGAAGGCTGCTACAACTATTCTAGTCTAGTTCATGAGGCCTTTATAACAGCCTATGTAACAGGCAATATAGGTTCAAACACTTCCTCCTGGGCTAGCCCTTCTAAACACTCTGTCCCTCCTTCCCATCAGCTATTACCTGTCTGTCCTCCCATTCACCTCGCCCCTTCACTCCCTTCTTCCCAATACTCCTCCACGTCTCCTCTGGTACATCTCACTGATTATTCCCTGTCTTGACTGTTGACTCCTCTCCAACTCGACTCCAACAGCACCTCAGTCCATCGCTTGAGTCCTGACCTGTACTCTCAAATGTTGTAGGTTAGTGGTGATAAGAATTGGGCCAGAAACCAAAAGGTTGCTGGTTCAAATCCCTAAGCCTGAGCGATACAGTTCAACCCAACTGCATTATGGGGCACACAATATGACAGCCACACATCCCAAACACGAGGAGTAGGGACTTAAAGTGGAAATCAGATTTTGCAGTTGGACCAAAAACAGTAATCCGATAATCGTTGGTGTGACAGTAGCAGTTTATATAAGATAATGGAATATAAGCTGTACCCACCCTGGAAACTATCTACTCTTGCTCTTCGTGCACAACAGTATATATAACTATATATTGCTCCTTTGCTCACACATCTAGATATTGCCCATTTGCACTATTCAGATACATATTACACGTTCCATATTTACCCAGTGCATACGCCAACGTGCAGGGTCTCTTGACTGTTCATGATTTGTTTGCACCGTTTGGCCAAGTTTTAAAACGTGTGTCCCAAATGCTGCAGCTAGTGGTCAGAAATAAATGCATGTGTAAACAGACTGGTTGAATAAATATGATTTGGATTCTGGCAGATCCGATAAATGAATTACAAGTTATTTTCAGACATTTACAGAGGTACAGTTCTATTATGTCTACAATATAGTGCAGCTTTTATTTAATAGATGCTATCAGATCAGTGCGGTAGAGCAGAACCCTCCACGGTTCTAGTGCACTATATTAAAGTGTAGGCTATATTAAATGTAATGGTTTAGGCATTAAGATTCGCAAGACATGATGGGTCTTTTTTATTGAATCCATTTAGTTCTATTTCTTCCCTGTCTTTGCTGTCGACAGATAAGCTGCATTTATCAAGCAGGCTATGCTATTGGACAGGTATTAGTGGTAAATGATCAAACAGTAGGTTATATTTAGGAGAATAAAGGCTCCATGCCAGGTTTGCTTGCCCCTACCAAACCCTGACTTCACTGCATATGATTCGTCAGTGACAAATACATCTTCATAATGACAGAATGAGAACACTTTAAGCCACACCAGTCGTTAGGGAGCTCTCCAGTTCCAACGGAGAAAAGTAATGCATTCCGCACAAATACGCAGAATTAAACTTTTCATTAATAACCCTGAACTGAAGTTTGACATTGCAATCGGTTAAAGCAAAAAGGTTGTATTATATGCTGCATTATGAACTAAACATACAATCAAAATAGTTCAAAGTAGCACTATATTCCCTAAACAGTTCACTACAATTGTGCAGGGCTTATTAAGTAGTGTGCTAATATTAGCGCCCTAATCCGTTGCTGAATAAATTATTCAAGCCAACTTGATTCAGGCTGGTGATTGTAAAAGCACTTTGTGACAACTTTGTTGTAAAAAGGGCTTTATAAATAAATTTGACTGATTGATTGAACTTGTCTTACATTCTTGTATTCATTCCTACAGGATAGTGACACGTCCTTGTCAACAGAGGGCCACAACAGAGATGCCTCTGAGGCCGAAAGTCTCCAGAGGAAGTCCAGGATGTCAGTGCTGAGGGAGCGCCTGGAAAAGCAGGGGAAGGAGGCAGAGGAGGAGTGAAGTGGAAAAAGTTT